AACATTATAGATACCTTCCCACGTTGTAAAAGTCGCCGGTGCTTGCTCTAGGATCCATCCCCTTGCCGCCCCTTTCAAAGTGTAGGGAAAGCTTTTGAGTTTGAGATCATCCTCGGAGAGACCATGCCTAGGAATTCCTTGGATGAATCCATAGAACTCGGTGATGAAATTGAGTGGATTCTCCCCCGGAAGACCATGAAATTGAGGCATAGCATTGAAGTAGCTATTCTTCATTTCATAATCCCTTGCCGCCTCGCTTAGGCCAATACACGAGGGAGTGGCGGCAACCACGGGCCTCTTTCTTTCGTTGAGTGTTGGCATCATCTTTGCTTCTTTTCTTTCCTTCCGGATGTGTTTGCAAGTTTTTTCTATTTCAAGATCAAGTGGTTCAAGAGACTTAGAACCTTGACTTCTCAAATGCATGCAAACACAAAGGAATATCTACACACACAAAAATAAAGCCTTCCAAGATCAAGTGAAATCGTGAAGAGTAAAATAAATTCAAGATTTTTGAGTGATTGTTTATTTTTTTATGGACTTTATTAAACAAGACCGTTTCCCCCGTTACGGCGCCAAAAACTTGACCGGGCTAAACTTGCAAGTGTACAAGTGCCGATATAGTAATAAATTTCGGTAAAATACCGGGTCGAATCCACAAGGAAACGTTGTTTAATTCAAGTCTGAGAGTAGATAGATTTAAATAAAGAAATGAGTAAAGTGAAGGGATTTTGATTTGTGTTTTATATTTTTGGTTTTTCACTTTTTGTTCAAGAAGATAATTGTTAACTAATTTTGAGTTTAAGATGAATAATAACAACAACTAAGGCCTCAGGAATCACTTAAATGCTTTAATAGGGTTGAATATTAGTTCTTTACCAATAATTATGAATACGATGTCGCTAATATATTCTCAACTCCGGTTAAGGCAGCGAGAGCGTGATTTTCGTTGCGTGTAAGTCCCGTTACAGCTTACATTCATCTATCGAAAATCCCGTTGAATATAGAGACATCACACCCGTATCATATAAGACCGGATATATTTCTATTCTCGATAGTATATATGTTTATTCTTTAATGTTCATAGTTTAGACTTCAATGTTAATTGCAAGTATAAACTAAATTTAACATACTTCTGAAAGAGATATGCCCTAGAACTATTCATATGTGTATGACTTATAGTTGGATATCTTATGCTTATTAATAAGGTTTATTTTATTTCACCTTATATTCTGAAATATAGTATATTATTATTATTAGTTCACCAAGTATGTGACTTGGTTGTGGAATACTAGTCGTTTCGTAAAATATACTATGTCGCTAATCATATCTCTATAATCTAGGATTACATAGACATATTGATTAGAGTGTGGGTTAGCTGATGACTATGTTCCACAAGTCATGGATATGGTGATATCAAGCTAAACACACTAATACTTGTTGGTGAACAAATATTGGACCGACCCGTTTTGGGAACACTGCAAGGAAATGTTATAAATGTCATCAGTGATGTTCCCTTTAGTGAAATCATATTGTCCTCGGACCTGAGATCACCATGGTTACCAATATAGGGATTAATACATTAGATATTATCAAACGTTACTCCTAAATGAGTAACTATAAAGATAATGATCAAATGTATTATGAAATATATAGAGGTATGTGGTTGGTTAAGATGGGATTTGTCACTTTCATATATTGAGAGAAGATATCTTTGGGCCCCTTGATAAGTATATTTAATTATAGCATGGCCAAGCACAAATGAGGTGTCATTTGTATTAAATATACTTGGAAATCAAGATACAATGATTGAACTATACAAGAATGACACTCGCCTAGTCTTGTGTTCAATCTAGATATCGTTTGGCAAAAGGAATATATATGTGACATAATATATATATATATAAGTTGTCGTTTTGAATTTTATATCCTTTGGATAATAATAATGTCTTACTAGAGACCGCTTTTTATTTGTATAATTAGAAGAGTATTTAATTATACTACCAAAGGAATATAAACCTATAGGGTCGTACACTAAAACGTTTTGGATCAGAATCGGATAGTGTTTGGGTCCGAATGACTTCAAGCCCATATCCGTTTGTTGCTAGGTTTTTCTATATTATGTTCTATATAAAAGGAGAAGCCTAAGAGCTTAATAGGGCTGGCCGTTCTCATACATACATGAGACAAAACATAATTTGAGAAAACTCTTTAGATGCTAGTACATTGAGCAAGACTGATCCGATCGTGTGTGCACACCGTAGAGGCGTGGTACTTTCTACGCTAGAACGATATAAACAAGTGCTAAGACATAGGTTTCCATCGATCCATCAAAAGGTATGGTTTCATACGAACTTATAATGATTTGTTTCTTGATTTGTTGCAAACTATATTGCTTATTAGCAATTGAAATTCATGGAATACTATAGATCCTTTTGTAAATGTTTTTGCTTCGTATCAAGCATGAGATGCATGTTCGTAGCTCGTTTCCTAACAGTGGTATGAGAGCCTTGGCTTACTATTCCATGGTTTTCAATTGACATATTAGTATTTTTGAAAGAATCATGCAATACATCAAGTTTTGATCGAACTTTTGTATCATGTTTGTTGCGTTTCACAAACTATCCATATTTCTTGAATATGACTTTCTTGAGATCTGATTATGGACTAGAACGAATTGCAACATCAATGTTTTTGTTTTTAAGTATGATTATTAGGAAAGTTCGTATTATATGCTAAAGTAATTGAATGTTCACAATTACCTTAATTAGCATATACGAATTTCCTATAATATTTTCAATCATATTCGATTTGATTAGATCAAATCTATTGGAATTGGTTGATTTGATTTTATGTCCGTTTTGTTACATATATGATCGTGTTTTTAAGTATATTTATTAGGAATGTTCGTATTATATGCTAAAGTAATTGAATGTTCACAATTACCTTAATTAGCATATACGAATTTCCTATAATATTTTCAATCATATTCGATTTGATCAGATCAAATCTATTGGAATTGTTTGATTTAATTTTATGTCCGATTTGTAACAAATATGATCTTGCTCTTAAGCATTTGTATTAGGAAAGTTCATATTATATGCTAGTGTAATTGAAAGTCCACGATTACCTTAATTAGCATATATGAATTTCCTATAAGATTTTCAATCTTATTAGATTTGATGAGATCAAATCTATTGGGATTTTTTGCTTTAATTTATTCCACGTTTTGTAAGGTGTATGATCTTGTCATTAACGTATCATTTTAGAAAAAAAATCGTACTAAATGCTAGTGTAATTGAAATTTCACAATAACTATGATTAGCATATACGATTTTCCCATAAGCTTTTTTTAATCATATTAGACTTGATGAGATCAAGACTAATGAGATAGTTTGTGTTAATATGATTAAGGAAAATGATACAATCTGATTTTGAGAAAGTTATTATATTAAGAAGTTTCCCATTGTATGCTATTATGATAAAAAAAATCCGCAATTACCATATTTAGCATATACGAATTATCTTGTTAGATTTTTCATATCATAATAGATCCAATAGAATTATGTCTAATAAGATTAGACATAATAACTAATCATTCATAGATTGAACTCTACTTATGGACTTTTACATGTATGTGATACTTCATGCTATGAGATAACACTAACCTGCAGGATTGTGGTTATAAGGGATATAGTATGGCCATATTTTTGTTTTGTTTTGTACGACCTGCGTGTCGTTTAAATTATTGTACGTTTTTCAGTATTAGGATTTTGTATTAGGATGCAAAATGTAAATATTGTAAATTATACTTCAAAAAATGGAAGAGTGCCCATCAAGGAGAAGCATGGTGAGCATGCTGGAGTGTTCAGAGCTGCCAAGGATGGAGTGCTAGAAGCTAACAATAGCTTGATATATTGGTCATACTATATCACATGCATTTTACCCATATTTATTGCTTTGTGATTGTTTTAAACACCTTATTACATTGCATAGTTATTTCCCTAGAAAAATGAATCATTTGTGCCTTTCCAACATTGACAACTATTACATATTATGAAAATTATATAAAAGACGTTTGCCAAAGCAGAGTCATCTAAAATTATCATAATAGTAAGAATGTCGGACATTCATTGGTCATAAAATGTTGGTTTGATCTCACAAAGTCATCAAAATGGTTTTGGACTTTGAGACAAAGTGTTGAGTAGCTCAAACATAAGATATAAAACTCAACAAACCAAGAATTACATAGGATGTAATTAGCAATTGTTGCTTACCCAAATAACAAAGTTTTGCTAAAAGGGATCTTGGTCCTACTATGTCCCAATGGGACGTTTACTTGTTTGCCATAGTAGGAGTCTTTAATAATAAGCACACATACTAATCTTTGTACATATTTTCTGTAGAAAATGGCAAATAACAACACATCCACTTTTTCCCTGCGATCCGTCCTTGAGAAGAAAAAATTGAACACAACAACCTTCCTAGTCTGGTTTAGGAATTTGAGAATTGTTCTCAAGCATGAGAGGAAAGACTATGTCCTCGAGAATGCAATTCCTGCTGAAGAACCAGCAGCTAATGCCCCTCGTGCTCAAAAGGATGCATATCAGAAGCATCTAAATGATGATTTGGATGTTTCGTGCCTCATGCTTGCTAGCATGAACGCTGATATGCAAAAACAGTTTGAGAACTTAAGTGCTTTCGACATGGTTAAGGAACTAAAAGGTTTGTTTCAAGAACAAGCTTGAGTTGAACGCTATGAGACTACTAAGTCTTTGTTCTCATGCAAGCTTCACGAGGGAAGCTCTGTTAGCCCCCATGTACTCAAAATGATTGGGTACGTTGATCACCTTGAAAGGTTGGGGACAACCATTAGCCAAGAGTTGACTACTGATGTCATTCTCCAGTCATTGCCAGAATCATTTGATGGTTTCATCATGAATTTCAAGATGCACAACCTGGAGAAGACATTGAATGAGCTTCATGGAATGTTGAAAACGGCTGAGCAGAACATCATTAAGAAAAGGAAGAACGATGTTCTAACGGTTCAAAAGGGAGGGTTTAAGAGATGAAAATATCAACGTGCTGATGTAATACATCAACAACAATAAAAATATGAGAGAGACTCTCCGCTTCTCTCTAGAAGTCCGTTGAACATCTTTTTAAGAAAGCCATGTTCGCTGACTTTCATCTACCATACGCATGGCGCAGGGATAATCAACGATATGACAGGAAAGCTCCGCGATGGAAATCCCCAGGCTACGTCTACATCTACGGTACGCATAGCGACCCACGAACCTGGAATGGTCAACGACGAAACTCACCCAGGTTTTACAACCACCGTACGCACCAGGAACCCCCATCCGCATGGCGCGGGGAACAAAATTCGCAATGGAATTACCCAGGGAACATCCACAACCACGGTTCGCTGCGGGAACCCCCAACCGTGAATCGCCAAGGGCGACACTCAATCAGGTTTTACATCCACAATCAGGCCTCAGCTGGCGGGTTTCAGGACAAGTACTTCTACAATTTTCACAATCCCAATCGAGGAAATCACAGAGGCAACCACTCTTGGGGCCGACAGCAGGAAGCACAGGGCTTCAACGAATATCAGCCAAAACGCCCAAGTCGCTATTCACCCAACACCAGCGACCTAGAAGGCTCCTGGTGCATAATCAAGAATAGGCGTACTGCGAGGCCTCAACGCAGATTCTCGGGCACCGAAGGGCCACCGGGTATGTCCAATCGTTTTATTTGCCTAGACATGGAAGATGAACCTTCCTTCCAAACACAGGAGTTTGAACCTTACGGACTAAATCACCCTAACAGCTCCTTATACGATTATCAGAGAAAAGAAAGAGAATCTTATACAGATTGGGGAAAATATAAACGCAACCCCAAAAATCCGACCTTGGAAAATCCGACCTGGGAATCAGTTGTCCCAAAACTCGGCTGGGAGGGAGGCGACCGACTGATCCAGAAAAATAACCAGACCGGTGAAGTCGCCGGAAAGATGGGGGAGGGGGGCGACCGATTAAGTCCGGTAAAGACACCGGAAATAAGGCCGGAGGACCCACAAGTCTCGACGACGGAATCATTGTACGACGTCTTTGCCAATCAACTTCACCCACCTAACGTGAGGAGTCTGGCGCAGGAACGAGCTGAAAGCTACCCCAGTTATCCACCGCAGAAAGAAAGATCCAAAATCATCACATGGGCTGACACTTTAAAATCAGGCAAGGCATCACTCACAGGTGTACATACTCAGCATCAGGACCCAATTGCTCCTATTCAGTCAACCTCAAGTTTAAAAAGTCTCTCATTGGAGGAACACCCCCGTTTGGGCAGTGTCAATTCACCTAGAGGAGATCTTCTGGATGAGAGAGATACTATACATATTAAGGACTCACAAAAGCTCAATTTTTTTGCACAAGGATTTGACAGAATCAAAATTGAGTCAAAACTCTTTCAATTTGCTGTCAGTAACAAAGAGATTATCATTGTGGAAATCAAAGACTCGTTACTGAGCAAGATTAATTTCAGATCAGACCTAAGCCCCCATATCATCCAGTTCATTTCGGAAATTTCAAATGCTAATTGCAATCAACGCAGGAAATTTGGACATATCACCGTTTCCTCTGAATCCAATAAAGCAGGCGGCTTTTTGAAAATTGCTAAAGAAAGGGGGAGCTTCATACATGCCCCCATGGGACCAAAAAAGTCAAACCTGTTTAAATTCATTAAATTTTTTTCTAATTTTGTAGGGTTACAAAAATCTTTGCAGGATGACTTAATCTCCTTTCAACGTAGCAGCCCTACTTTTGAAGTTGAGGAATCTACATCAATCTCTAAATTGATCTTTAATTCCCAAATCCAGGAATCAACTACCGGGAATCAACAAGTACACTCTCCTACCAGACAACCCCAGTTGTCACCTATCCAGGCTTACTCGGGCGTCTCAGACGGTTTCGATCATTCTGATGACTCTTTCTTCTCAGACGACTTTCTGGGACATGCAACCGAAAGCGATCGTCGTCCTCCTATTTCAATTCAGGAGGAAATCAGGAAATCCGAATTCAACAAAGCGATTTGCCGCAAAGCTAGCTTCGTTACCTCCGAAAACTATCTGCCAATAGAAAATCTGAACACGCAGCTAAAGATTTACAGGAAATCTCAGAAGAATAAGAGAAGACACAATATGAGTACAAGATCTCAGACCAGAGATTTCCCTTAGGCTTAAATTTGCTATTTTCTTTTCTTTTCTATCTTCTTTTCTTTTCTGTATTGTTTTTTTCTCTCTTTTTCATTCTCGCATTGTACTACTTCTTGTTATCAATAAAATCTTCTTTTCCAAAAAAAAGGGAAAGGGTTTCAAGAGACACGGAACTAAGAAAGGAAAGGGCAAGGGCAAAACTCCAGTTAAGAACTGGAAAAACAAGAAGGTGAAATCTGAGCCCAAGCCCAATCCACAAGTTGAAATGTTATGCTTCCACTGCAATGAAAAGGGTCATTGGAAGAGGAATTGTAAGAAATACCTTGAGGAAAAGAAGGGAATGAATTCTTCTAAATCAGATACTTACGTTATAGAAGTAAATGTTACTTCAGCTTCTTCTACTTCTTGGGTATTAGATATTGGAAGATTTATACCGAGATATATGATGAGGTCTTGCTCCGAGTAGCCTTGGTATGGAGTTTTGTTGACGATCCCCCCTCCACATGCGGTGTTGATCATTCGCCTATCATCATTGCAAAGACCATCATAAAAGTATATGATGAGGTCTTGCTCCGAGTAGCCTTGGTATGGACAGCTCGCACAAAGTTTCTTGAATCGTTCCCAATATTCGTAGAACGATTCATCATCTTTTTGCTCCACATTGCTGATTTGCTTTTTTAGAGATGAGGAGACAGAGGCAGGATAGTACATTTCAAGGAAAGCTTTCTTCATGGCCGCCCATGTACCTATACTTCCCGAAGGAAGATAGAATAGCCAATCTTTGGCGGTATCTTTGAGGGAGAATGGAAAGGCCCTCAATTTTATTTGTTCCTCGGTGACTCCATTGGGGCACATGCTTGTGCAAACAACATGGAACTCCGAGAGATGTTTATTTGGGTCCTCCCCTCTTAAGACATGGAAAGATGGAAGTAGATGTATGAGTCCAGATTTCAACTCAAATGTAGCACCCTCATCAAGAGTTGGGAAAGTGATACATAAGGGTTGTTGATTCAAGTTTGGAGCTGAGAGCTCCCTCAAAGTTCTTGTTTCGATAGCCATAGTTATTGTCTCTTCGGTCTCGCTAGAATGAGAACTCGCGCTGGATGTATCTCCGGTAGATAATTCATTCGAGTCGGTATTAGAAAATTTATTTTTCAACCGCTCGAAAGTTTGCTCTATTTCCGGGTTTGTTTGATAGGTGATTTCGTTTATGGAACGATGTTTAACCATATTGATGGATAGTCTACCCGGGGGGTATATATCCGAGGGGTTATTGCTGAGAATAACTTAGAGAGAAGTCAGAGCACAAGTAAGTAAGAGAGAGAATGTATTCAGTATGAATGTCGTGGTTTACAACGGGGAAAAGGGGGTGCTATTTATAGTAGCAATAAATGCCGGACAGGGACACGTGTCAAGCGGCCATTGGCCAAGAGGTCACCTCAACTGGTTGGCGTTGGCAGCCGCATGTGGCCGCATTTAATGCGGCTTTTGGATGAGACGTCTGTACAGGGTACGGTGATCTGTACGCATGTGGCGCGGATATTATGTCGGGAGAGGTGCCTTCGGCTATAGAGCAGGAGCCGAGGGCTCCTCAAACCGAGGGCACCCTGGTGCCGAGGGCTACTGTTTTATCCGTTTTCTCCCAGTTTCTTAGTTTGCTTGAGAAACCCGTTCTGTGAGAGTCTAGAGCCTTCGGCTAGGGGGTCGAAGGCACCCCTGGTGCGCTGTGGGCTGCTTGGCACTCCGGGCGCCATGTCTTGGGCCTGTTGGGCCTTCTGGGCCTATTGGGCCTTCTGGGCCTATTGGGCCTTTATTGGAGTAGTAGGAGTCTGTGGGCCGGGGGTTCCCGACCATATACTCCATCAGGAGTCCCTCACTCCTTTTGCCGAAAGGTTTTTGAGGGAAAAGGAGTAATTTGTGCTTGCCCTTTGATGTTGTCCTGTCGTAATCTCTGAAGTTGGTGAAGAGTTGTTGCTTTTATGTCCCTGCCGAAGGCAGTCCCTCAGTTACCCACATGTCGGGACTTGAGGGCTTGCTTTGTCGTTTGTTGGAATTTCATTAATTTTGTAATTTAATGATTTTCCCGAGGGGGTCCTCCAGTCCCCCACTCCTTGAGGCACTTGTAAAGTGGTGAAAAGGAGTAGAGTAGTTGCGTTGCTGTTGTGGGCCGAAGGCTGACGCTTTTCGTTTCATTTTGGGGGGATGCCTCGTTAAAAACCTCATTAGGAAAAACCCTGTGGGAAAAAATCCTAATGAGGGAAAAAGAGTGCACCGAATTCCCCCAACGATGAATCGAAAATGTGAAACCTTGGTCAAAAATGGAGAATAACGGTAATGCCGAAAGCTCTCTTTTCTGAGGGCTCATGTGTAACACCCCTAAATTTCCCGCCCAAAACATTGATATATTTAAAAGAAATACTTTATTCATTCATCAAAGAGTTGAAGAAATACAGCGGAAGTCTAAAAGGGAAATGAGTGTTACCGCCACATTCGGTCATCTCTTAACCGAATGCACAGGCAACTCAAAGTAAAACAATAAAAACTCTTGTAATAATAAGTAAATGTTAATTTCATGACTAGATTTAACTAAGGCATCTTCTAATTCGCACTCAAGCTCGAGCAATCCATCAATCCACATAGGTATCCAACTCATCACCTGATAAAATTTAAGGGAGAAGAGAGAGACAAGAGAAATAACAAAAATTAGCTTTAGAGCTAAGTAAGTACTACCCAACCCCGTAAAATAATCAGGTTTGACAAAAATAGATTTTTATATAATATCATATAAAAATGACGCACTCCAACAAAATACTTTTCTCTTTGATTTTTCTTAAAATTACTTCTTTACTAAAATCCTCAACTTCTCTTCGAAAATCTCTTAGTATCTCTTCTCTTTAAACTTCTTAAGAAAATCACTTCTTCTCTAACTTCCTAGTAATTTAGAAGGGCGGTGCTCAACCTTTCGATAGAGCCCGGTGGACCGTGGTTACGGACGGCCACCCCGAACAAGTGCTGGTACCACAACTGCTCTGTTGGAAACGAAACGACTACCTTAAGTGTGCACACCCCCTAAAAGGGATTCCAAGCCCTCCGAGTAGTAAGTCATCCCGAGTGGTCGGAACCCAACCACCCCAATTCTAAAATTCTTGAATGATTAGGGACTACTACTATAACTTCTTCTTAAAAGGGATCATAGATCCAAATCTTACTTAAAAGGGATCATAGATCCAAAACTTAACTGTACTTCTTAGTAGTAGTAGCTCTAATCACCCTCCACATTTATCCGGATGTGAAAAAACCGATACCTCGGATTACTCCCGAGATGCTCACTTCTTATGAAAATGTAAATTTTATCTTCAATTAAATAATACTTCAAAAAAATACTTCTTAATTTCTCTAAAAAGTCTCGAAGGTATTTAAAAATATTTAATACCCCAAAAGTTCTTGATTTATACTTCTTAACTACCATATATATAATATCTCCTCAAAATCACATACACAAAATTCACAAATCACACTTACTCACATAATGCATAATAAGCATATAATACGAGGAAACAAATTTTGGATTGGCAGAGAAACTTACCTTAAGTCCTGTTGCTCCTAGTTATCCTCTTCTAATCCGGTCTCTAGATAATCACCTTTTTAATTAAATATGATAAAATTAGTCACTTATTCTATTTGTAATTAATTTACCCGATTTTCTCCTTTTATTTTATTATTCGAATTTATTTGATTACTCACTTTCTATTAATAAAATTTCCTTATTAATTTCATCCATTAATTTTCAATATTTGAAATAAAATATCCGAATATAATTGACTACAACATCCAATTTTTATCCAATAATCACTATTAATATTAATATTTCCTTATTTAATTACTTAACTAGTTTTATATGGCCTAATTTAAATAAATAGACTACGAATCGACTTTATAAATTAAAAACCGTCTATAACTATATTTTGGGTCTATATTTGACCTAGGTTGTCCAGATATCTATTTTATAATTATCTTCCATAATTATTCCTTTAATTTCATATATCTATTAACCGGTTCAATTACAATTAAATATACTAAATCTTAATATTTATTAATTATAAATGGTCCATAAGGTCCTAGTTAGTCATATATTTATCCTAGTTTACTCCAATATTTATTTCATAATTATTTTCGTTATTTAGTTAATTATTTACTAAATGGGTATAAATTGGCCCAATTACAATTAAATCAATTAAAAATAGCTAAAAATATTATTTTCCAATTCTGGTTGGTCCGAATATGTATATTTATACTAGGTATTTAATTTATATTTTTCCAGATTTTATTTATTTCATTTACTATTTTATTTTTAATTTTTATTGCAACTGGGCCGAACTGGCCCAAATTTAATTTTCTGGCCCAACCTGAAAAAGGCCCAAAAACCGACCAGCGTCTTCCTCCCCAGGTCGCCGGAGAACGGAACTAAAAAAAACGCAGAGGAGGTTACCTCAACGGCACGGCCAAGGACGGTGGTAGCGGACTTCTGATGGACGGTAACGGACGGTGATGGACTGGCGGCGGCAGTGGCGTCCCCCTTCTTCCCCGTTTCTCCGCCGTTGAAGTTTGCCCGGCGAACTCCGGCGAGGCTTTTCTCCCTCGTTTCACGACCGTTTTCAACGATTCTTTTTCCGTTGGATTCGTCTCACGAAGGGGAAGGTTTGAGGGGTGTTTTCAGGGCTTGTTTCTGGCTAAAACGGTGGGTCGAAAAAATATATATATATACGTATATATGTATATTTCTCAGATTTTTGGGATGAGGAAAACGTAGGTTCTGGCTTGCTATTTATAGGGAAAGATGAGGGTTTTAGGATGAGATGTTAGAGTTGGATTAAAACAGCTCCTCCCGATTTTTGGTTGTGTTGTTTTGCCGGCCAAGAAAAACCTACCGGGAGTAATATACGTATTGAAGTAGGAGTATTATACTTATGTTATAGATACTTATGTTATAGTAGTTATTTAGGAGTATTATAAGTATACTTAGCTATATACTAAGTTATACGTAGGTAGGTTTTTATATTATATACGTACTTAGTTTATAGGAGTAGGAGTATATATATATTATACGTACGTAGGTTTTTATATTACGTACGTA